ACTATATCAGAAATTAAACTCAATTAACATAAGGCCACTGGCCAACCATCTTTTCACATGGGTGCTGCTGAACCGTACTCCCCTATACCCACACAAAAAGATCTGTACCCACAGACTGATATATTATGGGTTACCAGGTTCTGTTAAAGTAAGACACTAAGAACCATAACTAGTACAGCTTTTTAGTCTTGGATGCTGTACTTTGACAAAAAAAAAAACAGGTTTCTCCCCAGTGTTGGATGATATATATCAACCAATATATTTCATGATATATATCGGGATATTTATCGGTTGATATATATCATGATATATATCATCTGAATCACCAGATTTATATTAAATAATTAGGGCCTTGCTGTACTTTTAGTCTTTTACAATGAATTAATTTACCTTTTTTAATTTGTTTTAGTATTTTTAGTTAATTATTATTGTAAAGGAAAGGAAAAAACATGTCTCTTTGAGGGATACGTTTACAACTGTAGGGCCTAACCCCTAATATTCATACCAAAAATGCAGTCCGCCAACTACATAGAGAAAGGAACTTAAATGTAGGAACATCCCTTAAAGAGTATGCATTCGTATATAATAAACCAAAGATCTACGTATAGAAACTAAATAATAAATATTAAGTGTTAGAACCAAAATGTGTTACACTACAAGTATGAAAACACATTAACACATAACCCATGTAATTATTGGTAAATTCCTTTATTTGATACTAGGACATATGTGAAAAGGTATATCAACTAAATGTCTACCTAAGAAGGAAATATGTTGACCAAATTTTCGAAAGTAAATATTTAGAAATTATTCCAAAGTTGGAGTAGTAAGCCCTGTAACGGCTAGCTACTTGTAACAGTAAATTTAAACTACCTGTAAGTATCTACCAAAGGTGCTACATCCCAGATAACGTAGTATTACTATTGCAGAATAAAGCAGTGGCAGTGATAGATGGGGCAATTAATAGAGCAGAAAAAAAAGGAAGGGTACTAAATCAAAAATTATTATCTTTCCCTATGAAAATAGGAATAGAGGAAAAAATGTCCACAAACCCACTGATTTATATAATCCCCACTTGGCCTAAGATCCACAAGGAAAAATAGAATGGAAGAGAAAACACCTCCTGTTACCTCGGGATTCTAAATCCCTACTTCTAGACAAAACCAGAATAGAAATGATCAATTTCTTTGATAACTATAAAGATCCTGACCCTACATAATTGTCTCACTTTTGCAATAGAAGCTAATGCCATAAACTCCAAGAGCTCACAGGTGCCACTACCTAATCTTTATTCGGTTTAGAATTAAATACTAAAATCCCATACCCTCGCGCTCCCCAAAAATCATAATGATTATTATCCTAGATGAAGGCGCATATTTTACTGCCGAAGCGCGCGTCGGGTGTTTTTACACTTTTCTTGTTTTGTTATTATTCTGTTTCCCACAGTGTGTATTAAACGTTAATAAATGTTGTTAAACTTTAGGAAAATGGGATTTAGATCAGTAAATTGATTGTTTTATTCAAAGGTTTAGTAAAGGTTAAACACTTAAAATGTGCAACTAAGGTACAAACTAATTACTAAATGAATGGGGACGGGGAGGCCCCCTATAAGTTCACTGAATAAGCTCCCACCCCTCCACCACCCCATTATAATTATTTTAATGGCTAACAATAATAGCCTGCACAATTGCAAGTCATTTATGCACTAAGCATAGTGTCTTTCTTGTTTTTGAAAAAGATAATTGTGATATGTATCAAACACTTGATATATATCTGATATATATCATAAATATCCTATATAATTGATATTTATATAAATATCATGATATTTTGTAACCCTGGTTCTCCCAGCTGACACTGAGGTAATGTGGGCATTTTCACATTAACTGTACAAATCCAGCAAAATTTAGCTTTTGAGCTACGAGGGCAACATACTCCAGCAGTTACAGATAATAATTTTCATCCACAAGCCTCCCAACGACCTCAATTTAGACATGCCAGCCCAGATTTTGGGGTCCTGGCGCTGCTGTTACAAGGACAACAATCACATGCTCAAGTTTATAGGATAAAAATGGTATCCGGACAGCTGACACAATTCCCTAGGGAGATTGCAAAGGAATTTCAGGACTATTGTGTGACACTTTATGACATATCTTCTTCTAATACTACTGTCTCTTCTCCAGACACAAAGGGTAGAAACAAACAATACCTAACGGAATATTTCCCTGATGTAATCACTGCAAAAGAGGTAGAGGTCTTGGATACCCCCATTGCGGAGGCAGAAGTACAGGCGGTGATAAAAACAGGGAAAACCGGCAAAGACCCAGACCCAGATGGGTTTTCCCTTGGATATTACAAGAAATTCAGACATCTACTTATACCCAAACTGACTAAGGAATTGACGAAAAGAGGACAAGAATTACTATTAAGAATCACTTGCGGCGATGGTCAATCAGCCTGGAGTACATTCAATCCAGACTGACATGCCCTTAATGTAAGCCCCCTTTCTTGATGAGCCCATGCATTTTGGGAATCACTGACATGCAGCATCACAGGCATTCTTCCCATGGATTTTCCAACCCATCCCAATGGCATGCCTTTGAAAGTTGGGAGGTATATTTTCAGTTTATGCATAAGCTCAGCAGCAGCAGAAAGGAATTTCATTCCATGAGAACCACATTGTGCCAAGCCACTTAAAAGCAGTTTTACAAAGAGGAACTGCACCCAAAGGCTACTTACATACAGTACCTACAGTAACGTGCAACTTTCACTCTTCTAGCAGTGATAGTGAGAGTTCATCATCCCTATACCCTAGTACATGTGGTTGAAGTGATTACTTGAGGTGAGTAGCTCAGGAATTTTAAGTAAAAAAATATGTCACTGTCCCACGATGCCACAATGATGACAATACCAATCAAGCACTCTCAGGGTTTCCTTCTAAATTTCTTGTATACAGAGTACAAGAACATAGACCAGGAGTACAACCTTCCCAGAATGGTTGGAGAAAATGTTTACATTATAAACAGTGCATGCAAATAGATTGCTTTCCCTATACGTCACAACTCTCAGGAAAGATTACTTCACTTACAGCTATGGTGTTGTAAAGGGCAATTGATTTAAGAGCAGGTAACGATTTTACTAAATAAAATATTGCAGTGGCATAAAGAAGGGGGTCTTTAAATTGTCCACAGCCTTTGACCAGAGTAACCGTATAGCTAAATATACAGACACAATAAGAGGTTAAAGCAAATAAGTGCATGTCTTGAAAACCGCTACACATCAAACTTGTTTAAAACTAAATAATGTAAAACTGTGCTATTGGAAGCCTTAAAATAATTTGAGTTTGCGTTTTTCATTAGTTTTAGCTGGAAGTATTAAAGGCCATGTATATGTTTACATAATCTTGATATTTGGCCTTTTGTTGTAATTCCCTTGTAAGGTTACATAGTTGTTATACAAAGGAACTTCTGTCTTTGTTGCATTAAATGGATGTGTTCCTAAACCCCGCTGTTAAGCAAAATATTAAATGAGTATCTCCTGTTTTTTCGTTCCCAGATTTCTGTTCTGTCTGCGACTGGAATCTCTGTGTGAATTAAAAGAATGCTTACTGCTTGACTTTCACAGAGCCAACTGGACCAACCGCAGAAACCCCAGAACCCATACCTTGCCAGATACTCTTTCTAAGAATTATATCCATACGCAGAGCTACTGGAAACAATGAAAGTCTTGTTTACTATAGAATTCCACTGATATCATAATACACCACAAGAGAAGAACAGTATTTTATGTTCATATGTTTTGTGCAAAGTGCATAAACATGCCATACGTTTCTGTAACTGCTACACCTTGACCGAGTTAGATTTGGATAGAACCAGACTGTCAGGTTAGTTCTGCATTTTAATCTTTCTTCTGCTATATAGCATTGGAAGTTGTGGGAACGATTTTGAAGTTACTCTAGACATTATGACGTACTTAAGCATAGGGGACTTGTAGATCCCACAGAGGTGACAGTGCTCTCTCCATCCTCTCCCCTTGTTAAACATGCAGGAGAAGCTTTGCCTGGTCTCCCTACAACAGAAGAAGAGAGAGGCAATTAGAGGGAGTGAAAAACCACATGTACGGTCAAATGTGGCTTAAAAGGTTGCAGTGAATAGTTAACAAAGTTACCTTTCAGTTCTGTTCCATGCCCTTGCTGCGAGACGCTGGTTTATTTAAGTCATGTGGGGTCCAGTACACAATAGGTAGAAAGGTTAATAATGAGTAACTGGGGTGGCGGAGCTAACGGCGCAACGAAGCGGTCGCCATTTATAGCAGCTCCGATAAACCAGTAAAATAAAATGAGCGATAACTCTAAATCTACAGCCCATCGGCTGAAACGAACTGCAGGCACTGACTCCTGACACCCGGCTGAACCCGCAGATGCCTTTTATGCAGAAGCCGAACACAAAACGCTGCGCCAAGGGATCTGGGCCTACCGCACACGCGACCAGATGCTAACCAGGGAGCTGACATCGGGGCGAGCCCACAATACGCTGAGGCAGACTTCTATACCCCGGAAGAAATGGTCCGGAGATCCCACAAATCAACCCCGAGCGCTGCCATACCGCACCGGGACATAAGCAGCATGCTGCAAACTCCCCAGCCGCCACGGACCCGAGCCGTCACGGCAGTCTCATACGAGCGGTCTGAAGATGGAGACTCAGTACATGGCATGGCTCTGGCCCACGCAGACAGCGCACACACACTGATGACTCAGCTCCGGCTACTAAGCAGGACATTCAGACCTTGCTGACCGGACTCCAATGAAATCTACAGCTAATGTGGCAGGCTGACCTGAAAGGGCTAGCAGCGGAGGTACAGGCAGTGTCGGCCCGCATCCAGGCCGCGGAACAAGAGGTGAGCGACCTGCGCCAAGACCTCACCTTCCTCAAAGATGCACAAGACAATATCATCAGACAAATTAATATAATAGACAACAGGGGCAAGAGAAAGAATGTTAAAATAAGAGGAATATCAGAAGCGGTACCACTGAACGAACTGCCCCACTTTATAAGGCGCTTAGTGGCCTCAGTCCTCCCCAACAGGCAGGCGAAACACTTTACATTTGACGGCGTATACCACATTGCCAAATCCCGACAAGCACCACAGGCATCCCCACACGACATCATCTTGAGATGCCAATCCATAACGGATAAAATAGCCTTAATGGCAGCCATTAAAGGGAAATCCCCGCACGACTTTGAAACGCAGCGACTCACCTTCTTCCAGGACCTGAGCAGAGACACTCTACTATGGCGCAAGAGCATGCAACCAATCCCATCTACTCTACAAACAGCGGGCCTCACATACAGATGGGCAACCCCCAGAACGCTGTGGATGACCAAGGGCGAACAACACTACAAGATCTGTAACTTGGGAGACGGTCCAGCCCTGCTGGCCACACTGGGACTGTCCAACGACGCCACAGCGCCAACCACCGAACACCCTGGGCCCATGCCCTGAAGTCCGCAGTGACCACACGCCTAGACTCATGTTATTGTTTTATCGGTTTACACAGTAATCCCTTTGCTAAACCAAATTGCCAACAACACTCCCAAGCTTGACCTAACCTTACTGGTCAGACATGGCTAACAGATCCCGTATTTGCGAGGCAGATGCCCCACACTAAGAATACAGGCACCCCCCCTTTTAATGCCCTGGGGTTAAAGGGCATAGTAAACCACGGAGCACCCACCTGAGTCACTAGACTAGCTTAAATATACAGTTAAGCCCCCATCAGCACCCAAGCCAGGTTGAGACCTGTGAAGGCACAGACAACCAAGCTCCACACTATAACTCACCTACACATAGACGAATTACAGGTACCCAGTCCTTAATCCACCACCAAACCTAACACACCCTACGCCACGCAAAGGGCTGGGTAGCCCATACGCTTACACCCTGTGCCAGTGTCAAAACACAGTTCAAGTGTCCCACCTGGACAACACTAACCACTATCACTACACTCACCATAGGCACAGTCAGCATCCTCGCTATGACCACCCAGCCCATCATACTAAAAATGTGCAAAGAATATCTCAGCCCAACATACAGGACGTTCACATTGTTATTGTACCTAATGCATATGCTGTTCTGGCATTCTTATTCATGTCTGTATCACTACTACTGCACCAAAAATAAAGAATTAAAAAAAAAATTCTAAATATTATGAGTAACTGGAAACTCCAGCATCTCTTAAACTGCTGATGTAGGGTGAGATATGGATATCCACCACTCTAAACCTTCATTAAGTGTATGTACACACATTTGTTTATGAAATTAAATATGATACAAACAAGAATTTGCACATTAGTGTTAACAGCTGAAATGGTACCTGAATTGCATTTATATTACCCAATCCCCTTTAGATTGTTAGCTCTTTTAGGCAGGATTTTATCTCTTATACAGTACCTTAGATAGTAGTTGGGACCCTAGCAAGAGTAAAATAGACATTTACTGGGCAGGCTTAGCAACGACTGGGATCCAGTATAAATATTTTCTATGTTACGTTGGGGTGTTTAGCTAGGAGCCTCTGTTTTCAGGCTCAGTTACTGTTTTATTAGTGCATGCTGAACCTACAGTAAGAGAAACCAAAACGATATGGTATTAGGGAAGGTAAGAGACGGGGGTTTGGAATTACAAAGCATGTTTTTGCTTTGTTTGTGAGACCGTGAATTCTTTAAGCATGCTTGTTAATGAACAGCATGCTGTAGTGGTTATGGTTTAGCACCAGCACTGAGTTTTAGCCCTACTACATGTCTAAGAATGCCAGAACAGCATATGTATTACACAACATTATATTTACCCAAATCCTTTGCTGTCATGACTGAGGGCAAGTGAGCCACACCAGCTTATTAACAGAGGTGAGCTCATGCTAGTTGATTGGGACTATATTATTATTATTATTATTATTTTATTATTTATATAGTGCCAGCAAATTCCTACATATGTTTTGTGGAAGTGCTGTATTAGCTTATATTACAATTATATATCATTAGAAAGATAATTTAATGCAGAGTAAAATACAATAAAATGCAACTAATGTATTGAATTATCTATTTTATCAAAATTTGCTAAATAATAAGAAAAAGCGAACACAAATGGGATGGGGCCTGGCTACCATGCCAGACGGACGTGTCCTGAATGAGCTCCGGACTTTTTTGGGTTGTTTTTTGTATTCAGTATTCTAACCTGATGCTGAAACACCTTTAGTCTTGGTCTGAGTCATCATAAGTGACCTTTGCTTACCCTATGCGGACATGAAATATTTAAGTGATATTCGGCCTGGTGCACCCTGAGGAGGGGAAAGACAGCTGATCTCCCACAGCAATCCGAGCTGTCAGGATCACTGATTGCCCTTGGAACAAGATGGACGGGAGTGGTCTCCGTCCACACCTTGGAGGCTTCCCTGCTACAAAAAGGCCATGTGGCACTATACTGAAGGATTGGGCGGAAGAAACAGCGCCTTATTTACAATGGCGGTTGCCACATGTTTATTCAAATCCCAAAATCAGAGTTCACTCATTATGTCTAAGATGGATAGAATTTTCAACAAATTTTGCAAAAATTGACCCTCCAAATACTACAACCTGCTTCACAGAAACTGAGATAAATCTTTCCTCAAAATTAACCTTACTTATAAATATTAGAAACAGAGAGGAGAAAATTTTGGATGCAGAGATGCTGCTCCATTTTATCATGACTGAGAGGTTGACTTGTTCACAAGGGTTATATTATTCTATTTTACTGCTATTGCAAGCAGTAATGGATTATTATTGTAATGGATTATTACGTTTTTATATGTCTATATTTATATTTTTATTTAATAAAATATTATAAAAGACAAAACTTTATTGCTTCCAAGACAATCCTGATTTTTATTATAATTGTCAATTATTTATATATTTTAAATAGAGAAACTCTTATTTACTATATAATATTATAGCTAAGTTATCTGTAGATCAGAACAGAGTATGTAATACAAATTCAGAAGTGGCTGATAATATTAAATGTATGCATGCTAGGGCCAGGATCCTAAAAAATGGGAGGGGGGGGGGGATGGGAGAAAAACTAGGGAAACTAGAGGCAATGGCCAACACTAAACAATATGACATAATAGTAATAATGTAAACATAGTGGGCTGAGATACATGACTGGGCAGTTAACTTAAACTCTCAAATGTGAGCAGGATATTGCCTTGCTGCAGAGGGATTTGGGTAGATTGGGGGACTGGGCACTAAAATGGCAGATGAAATGTAACGTAGAGAAATGCAAAGTTATGCACTTCGGGGTTAAGAATGAACAAGCAACTTACACCCTAAATGGTAGTGAACTAGAGATAACCACACACGAGAAGGATTTGGGAATTGTTATAGACAACAAATTAGGCAACAATATGCAATGTCAATCTGCAGTTGCTAAGGCCAGTAAGGTTTTGTCATGTATAAATAGGGGCATAAATTCTCGAGATGAAAATATAATTTTGCCTCTTTATAAATCGCTGGTAAGACCACACCTTGAATATGCTGTGCAGTTTTGGGCACCTGTTCTAAAGAAAGATGTCATGGCACTAGAAAAAGTGCAGAGACGAGCTACAAAATTGATAAAAGGAATGGAGCATTTTAGTAATGAAGAAAGGTTAAAAAATTTAAATCTCTTTAGTTTGGAAAAACGGCGCCAGAGAGGGGATATGATAACATTATACAAATATATTAGGGGCCAGTACAAACCATTATCTGGAAATCTATTCATAAACAGGGCTATACATAGGACACAAGGTCACACATTTAGGCTGGAAGAAAGGAGATTTCATCTAAGGCAAAGAAAAGTTTTTTTTTACAGTAAGAGCAATAAGGATATGGAATTATCTGCCTGAAGAGGTGGTTTTATCAGAGTCCATACAGATATTTAAACTGCAATTGGATACAAACTTGCAAAAACATAACATACAGGGATATAATTTCTATTTAGTGGGGTAATAGCTGCTTGATCCAAGGAGACATCTGACTGCTATTTTGGGGTCAGAAGGAATTTTTTCCTAGTTTGTTGCAAAGTTGGAAGCGCTTCAGACTGGGTTTTTTGCTTTCTTTTGGATCAACAGCAAAAACATAGGTGAGGAAGGCTGAACTTGATGGACGCAAGTCTCTTTTCAACTATGTAACTATGTAATAGCAACTTAATCAAAATTAAGTTGTTATGCTGCCCAGAGGTCCCTGGAGCTTTCTTACCTGAAGGGCTTAAATAGTTAAAATGGTTAAAAGTCCCAAAGATTGCTTTCCAGGACCACAAGGTAATATAATGTGAGCAGGATATAACTTCACTGCACAGGGATTTAGATGGAATACGGGACAATGCACTCAAATGGCAGATGAATTTAATGTAGATAAGTGCAAAGTGTTGCACTGCAGGGTGGAGAATGCACAAGAAAGTTATACCGTCAATGATAATGAATTAAGGATAACAACACACGAGAAGGATTAGGGAATTGTTATAGACAACAAACTAGTCAACAATGTGCAATGTCAGTTGACAGTTGCTAAAGCCAGTAAGGTATTGTCATGTATAAAAAGGGGCATTCATTCTCAGGAGAAAGGTATAATTTTGCTTCTTTATACATATATACATATATATTCAACTTTGAATATGCCGTGGGCACTGTTCTAAAGAAGGATATTACGGCACTAGAAAAAATGCAGAGGTAGGCTACAAAATGAAAACAGTACATTTCGTCAGAGTTGGTACACCACTAACCCAAAATTTTGACTTCACAATTTCCAACTTCACAGCCTTGTTTTTATTCACAAACTCAATATTACTCACTATGTGCCTTGTGTGTGCGTTTTTTTTTTTATCTTGCAGAAATTAACATCCCTATCTTAATTATTATAAGGAACACACACAATTCTATATATTTAAAATATCTTTAAATATGTGTTATGAGAAAGTTATATTTAGGGAATATTTTAATGATATGTTCCACTAATAAAGGAATATATTACACTTAAAAAGGAGCTGACCAGAATATTTTGCTATCTATACGATCATCGCTAAACGGATACAGATACATCTTGGAAAAGTATTAGTTAGTAGTGGTTATATCCCACATAATTGGCTGTGGGTTTTTTGGATTACCAGCAGGTGTTAGTGTGGGCAGAGTTGGATAGATGCCAGATGTTTTAAGACATTTAGGCCCTCGATATGGAGTGAGTGGTTAAA